ATAAGCAAATGCATAAGGAAATGGACCAATCAATTTCCTTATGCTTATGCGTTATGCTTTATGCAAAAGTCTGTGCTCCGGCCAATATATATAGACCAATCAATTTCCTTATGCTTATGCGTTATGCTTTATGTAAAAGCTTGTGCTCTCGGCTTAAGAGTTATGGTTAGTTCATGTCCGTGTTACATCTATTTTCCGGGATGGTAAGCTGCACTAGTTCAGCTATAAAGAACAGACCTAAGGATCGTATCAGAATGAAATGGCAGGCAGTGTAATGAATAGATTAAGTTTGGCTGTTCAAAAATTTGAACAGGCGATCCAAACAATTTTTGGTCGAGGTTTTCCACCAGGTAATTAAAAATTAATATCTATAAGTCTACGCTGAATTGAATTTTAAAAGTTAGTGTGGACAATTTAAGTGAGTATTTAAATTTTGTGTTTCTTAACCTCAATTAAGGAATGTTTTATCAAGCATGATTTAAATTTTGAATGAATTTTTTTATTATATTAAGTTAAAAAATGCTTTTTAATTTTATTTTGCAGGACCACTATGTGTAATTGATTGCAACAATTTTCCGACGAGCGAACCGAAGCTGGTTGTTAATCATTTGGGTAGCCAAACTCTGAAAGAAATTTTCAACAATGCTATTTTATGGGCAGTTCCAACTAAACGGCGTACTATAGAAAAGAGACTGAAAAGAAGATTTGGAATAAAAGAATATGTATGGAAGCCACATGTTGCAAAAACTAATATATTAATGTGTCCTAATTGCAGTCACAATTATGAAGCTAACCGTCTATGTGGTAAGTTCTCTAAAATAACAATAATTGCATAAATTGTAGAAAAGATGAAAAAATAGTTTAAACTGTATGTAAATATAAAAATAACATAATCTAAAAGTCTTGCGTATAAGAATATAAAAAATTGTAAGCATATAAATTTTTTTCTATTTAGGACATTGTTATGAAAAAGTAAAACTTGAGACTAAAGAGATGCAAGATGCTATTCAAAAAGAATTAGGTTTAAGTCCAGTAGAAGAAAATGTAATTGTACTGTATGATGGAGAAAAAGATGATAAAAATGATGAATTTTGGAAGGTATTAAAAATTTGCTTTGCTTAATATATAATTTATAGTTTTGCATAAACATGGATTTAACTTATATCTCCTTTAATTCAGAATCAAAGAATAGTCGAGATGCCAAAGAAGAGACCTTCATGGTTTCACCAAAATTTACTTGAGCCAACAACGCAGGAACCATCTGATAAAAAAGATGTTAAACCTACTCATCTTGCATAAAACATGCTTAAAAATAGATTTCAACATCTTGCAGTCAAAAGCTGAGATATACCTGTCGAAAAGGTGAAGTATTCGACATTTTTGGAAATAAAAAATATTGGAATATTTTACTTTGTAGGTAGTATGTTTCAATGAATAATTAAATACAATATAAAAAAAAAAAATAAATGTGAAGAGTTTTATTACGTAAATATTCACAATTACTATTAATATTACTCATTTAATAGTACGTAGATTTTACATTCACTTTGCAACCGCGTTAGTTGATATAAAAATAAATACATCTTTATGCAACACACAGTACTGTCATTCTTTGTTTCATCGTTTTCTGTTGCATTATTAGCTTATAGTTTACACTATATCGTATATATATATTTCTATTTTAATATTTTGTCTCTCCAGTCACCTATTCGGTATAAAATTTTTCATAATTCTTGGAATCTTAAGCTAACAATATTAATGTGCGAGCTCGGAATCCTCTACAGAAGAAACTTCCTTAGTAAAATGACTTAAAACATGTTCATGAAACTCCGCAAACGGTATGGATTTTCCATAAACAATCCCACACAATGGACATGTATTAGTATCTGTATCCATATTATCATTAAGATTAGAATATTTATCTATAGAAATACTGGGTGTCATAAGACTAGTCTGAGTAGCTCCGTGTTCCTTGAAACTATCATCAGAGTCAAATTGTGTACCCGTTTGGCACATCTTTTTATTTGCATTCTCTCGACAATTACCACATACTGCTCCTAAAAAATATATATATTTTGAATAAATAAAAATAATTTTCTCTAAATTCTAACTGAATTTACAATGTTAAAATATGTTATAACGAAAGAAAAAAAGAAAATTATTAAATTAGGTTTATTTAATCAATAACAACGAAGTAGGTCTTGACATTAGAATAATCTAAATTACTTACCTTTTCTCATCTTTTTAAGATTCTGTAAGGCCCTTTTTAATCTGGTTTGTTGTCCAAGTAAGGCATCTTTAGTTTGCGACAATCGAATTTCATGCTGTTTTAGTTGTTCCAGTGAATCCATGTCAGAATCTTCTGGATACGTAAAACCAATGTTTTGTAAATTTAACTCTGCACTGTTATGTAACTCCACCATCTGCATGAGAATGACAGATTTAATGATAGATGAAAAATTTCAATGAGTTACAAATATTTTTATTCACTTACTTCTGCATATTGTTGTTCAAGATCAGACTTTTCCAACATAATACTATTTATCAATCGAAGGGATATTTCTTCCAAACTTTGTTCTCTCTCACCTAAATAATAAAAATTTTGTTATTAATCATCACAAGATTGTCATTTTAATTTTGTATTTATTTTATACGAACCATCTGTAGTTAATAAATTTTTCTTATTAATATCTTGTTTGTTCAGACTAGAGGCGTCACGAAAATTATACGTTATGATCTCAGATGGCTGTGTGATGGGATGCTGCTTAAGTGTATCTGAAATTTTTGTCAACTGACTACCTAAAGATTTATTAGTCTTTGTCAATCTTGTCAATCTATTCCACAACTGACGATTTTCCGCCGCTACCATAAAAATGTGATGGGATAGCTGAGATTTTTGTTTTGTAAGCTCTTCTACTTTTTCCTGTAAACAAAAGAATAATGTAAACATTATTTACGTTGTTGCACAATTTAAAAAATAAAAATCTCCAATTCAAGTTTCAATTTCACGCACTTGTAGTATTTGTAATGCTGACTTGTCGCCACTGTCCTCAACTTTGACAACAGCTGTGGAAAGATCCTTGCCACACTGGAGTCTAAGACATACGTTTTCTGCTTCGACCGCTGCCATTCGTATCTGCAATTGCTGACAACGCTCTTTCATAGTTTTGAAGGCAACCAGCAACGCGTAATACGATCCGACGATATCATTTTCCGGGTTCTCGACGTCGCTCATCGCTTGTGATTCAATTTTAACTTTATTAACGAGAGAGACACGCTTCGTGGCGCAGTCTTCGAGTAAAATAATATATATTTCGCACTGCGCCTTTCAAACTTCCGTTAATCTTTTTATCTTATCACACTGCGAGGTTAGGTAATCCTACATTTTGTTTGTTTAGTTTAAATAAACCTTTTCACGCTCATACGTGCATGCTAGCTTTCTCACAAGTCGTGACACTCGTATTTTTAAAAATCACTTTGTGTTAACATTAATGAAAATCACTCTGTTACAGCGAAATGACGTGGTGTCGGTGATTCCCCATTTTCCATTAGATTTATGAGCGTCGCAAAGCAGCACGCTTGTCATCTGATCATCAGCTGGTTGTTCCCCACCATTCCTCTCGCCGACTGTAAAAATACTATGCGTGTTCCGCATGATAACGTATTAGTTCAACGATAGGATGTAAACACGGACAGATAAAATAACGTGAGATTAATATTTGTCGAAGTGGATAGCGAACAATAAATCCGACTTGGAGAAACCGTACTTTACGGCAGATGGTAGAAGGTAAGTTACGGAAACGCAATTCAACAATCAGCTGATTTGGCTTATCAATTCACAACAGATGTCGGCGCCGCCGTATATCGAGATATTGCATATTCTTCATGATATGAAAATGATTACAATCTAAAGAAAATTTTTTTAATACAATAATTTAAAAAGATGTCTTATTTTCTAAATAATTCGTGATTTAAAATAATATTTTGGAAATGTGTTAAAAACTTTCGCATGTAGTCATTGTTTTATATTGTTAATTCGATTTTCCAGCTTTTTCACATCTTTTCTTAATCATTTTGCATTTTTTATTTTGTGGTATAAAATTTATGATATTTATTTATTATATATAAGTTGAAAATCAGCAATTTCTAACAATATTTTTACGAGTACCTTTGTAAAATATCGAAATGATTGTTGTTTGGCAAATTATTGTTTTTCTATGAGATGTCTTTTAAAAGTATAAGTCAATGCAGTTTAAATCAACGTAGAGAAACAGCAAATATTTTGGAAAGCTAATTTTTAATAAGCTTCAGACAATAGTTCGCGCTTAATTAGTTCGGAAAGATAAATACCGCGCAGAAGAAGTTCCGCATGATACTGTTTCTCTCGATGCTCGACTTGAACATTCCTCTTTCTCAACCTCATTTCCACACAAAAAGTCGCATTATTATTCTGCACTGTGGGTGAAGAGAGTAAAGTCGCGGGATTTATTCTGCTATCGCTATATTTCTTGTCGGCCTTTGATAAATTATTTTCATCGACGCATAAAGAAAAATGATCTGATTCTTCGTTAATTTCACGGCTGTTTGTAGTTAGAAATAGAAGAGAAGGGACACGTTTGAATACTGATTGTGAGTTAAATTGCAGCACTTTAAATATGCCATCGTGAAAACATAATCTGCAGAGAAACATATCGCTAAAATGTTCGTCAGATAAATCCTTCTTGCATACAAATTTTATCCCATTATATTTGAGAATTTTCGTCTACCGTTGTAATACGGTTTCTTATCTGTCTATCTCGACTACTGGCATGCGGTTACGCGTTTCGTATGGAAATGCGCTGCAAGTGAGCGTGCAAGGACGGTGTCTTTGGTAGGTGCGGACCCGTTTCGATCCGAGTCTCGCTATACATATCGAAAATGAAATGCCGTTATTTGATTTTTGCCGATCATTGTGTCAGAACTAGTCCCGTGCCTTGTCATGCGTAAGTTACCTTATAATTTTTCTTTGCTTCCAATGAAAAAATAATTAATACCTTTCGCTTTTGTCCGATCAGTTTGGTTGTGGATACGTCGATAGCTTGGTCTAAATGCATTTTCTAGTTGCTATTTTGATAATGATTTCTGATATAAATGACATTATCTTGCTTGATAGATTTATTGACTAAATTAGAATTGATTTTTTTAAACAAAAATGTTGAGATACTTGTAGTTTTCGAATATGAAAAGGTTTTTGTAAATCAAGAATTTTAGGAATTAAGCGAAAAAAATCTCAATTCCCAATCAATATTAAATAAGATTTGCTTGAATAGAATTAAATTAAAAGTTCGTTATAAAAGCTGAAGCTCGGAACACGTAAGAATGCTAGAGATAAACTGTTACACCTGTAGGAATCGCTGAAAGATCACCGAACGATTATGTAAGCGTTAAGAAGCATGACAGGCCGAACGAAAGATGGCAAAGTGATTGGACCGAGTGAGGAGGCGAGCGATCGCGCAGAACCCGGAAGGAAACAGGTCCTCTCATCTGCCGCTAGCAGGATCTACGCTAGCCAGGTGGGCAGGAGTAAGTATACCCGGCCCAGTGTACGGTCGGCCGTCGGCTCGGCAAGAAGCATCGTGTAGAAGCGATAGGCCGAGGTGATCTCGAGTGCATTCAACTCGTGAATCGTGAATCGTGCGCGACGCGACGCGCAGCGTCCTCGATCGTTCGCGCGAGAGAAAGAGGATCGCAAAACATGCCTGGAATATCGCATCGATGGATACGCATTACTGGTAAGCGAAGTCGATTCGTCACGATGTTCAAGTACTCAAGTCGAGTATTTCGATATTTGTCTCGGTTGCGATAGTAAGGATGGATCTGCACGAGACGCGACGCGCTTCGTAACTTGTAATAATTTTAACCAAGCAGTTTGATGTTCAATCGTTAGGTATTATAGGCCGATAAAAGCCACAGGTGCGGTTGATAGTGCGAAATTAATTTAATATACGCTCAGAAGTTAAATTGACATTCGTACATTGATAAATAATTTAGTTTTATACTACAGAATTTTTATAAAAATAATGTATTACTGTACACAAATTTCAGATTTCCAAGTGTATTGAATTAATATCTCAACTGCTCTTATTGGTCTATAATATATTTTTATGTTAATAGTTTTTTCACGTATATCGCACAGTTATTTACTTTTATAGAAATGCAATTTTACGTCTCGCAAAACACATAATAAATCTATTAAATGTCATGAATCCAGTTACCATTCTCTCAAGTTTGGACGTACGTTGTAAAAGTTTTTGAACACATATTAAAACTTGTATAATTATATATCAGAGAGATACGCTCGACATTATTTAAACTATGAAATATTTCAGTCAACATGCACTGTGAAATATATTCATAAAAAGGTAATGTATGATAGCCTGCACTTCTTTACACGCGGACTGCCCGAAAGCGGGTCACGGGGCTAGCCGGTTGCCGATAAACGAAATAAAAAAAAAGTGGAAATAGCAGAAGAATAAGATAGAATCCTTATTCTGAGGGCGATCGAGCGTAGAAGCGCCGCTTGAATTTCAACTCGATCGCCGCTCGTTCCGTTTACAAACAGCTGCAAGGTGGAGTGGACCGAAAGTGCTCTCGTTTCGCGAAACTTTCCGGGGGAGGTGACGAGGTCAAGGTTCACAGCTATCAAAAAAAAAAAAAAAATTTAGTAGAAGCAGAAGGGATCTAAAATTATCGGTCATTGCAATTGGGAGAACAAAATCTACAGGTGAAACAGATTCAATTAATGTTTCTACACACGCCACTGTTCGAAAAATTTAATTAAAAAAAAATTAAACAGGTAAGCGGAAATAGTAAAAATATAAATAGTAAAAAGATTGGAAGAGAAAATCTGAAAAGTTTAATAGCGAAAACAGGACAAGTCTGATACCGCGATTCCTATAATTTTATACAAGATGTCCAATAAATCGTTAACAAGACAGTATTTAAATTTATTACAAGTGAATGTCGCTGCTCGTGCTTGCCTTGGCTACGGACCTGCGTGTTCGCTCGCAGGAATATATCTTGTTAGAAACTTGGACTACATATGTTTGCCTAAAGTTTTGCGTACGTTATGTCTCCTCGCGAAAGGACTTGTTACGGGTTAAACGGTACTAGTAGCGGCAATTACCGAGCCACTCGGTTAGCTTCGCTAAGACGTCGCAATACAGGCCCACACGATTACTTGATATCCGCACGAAAGACCGGAATTCAACACAGTTATCTGAATGCGCATCGCTAATGCGTGTTACGAATATCTTGAGCAAGTTGTTCACAAGTGCTGCGAGCAAGATGTTAACTTTTAAGTACTAGTCATAATTCACGTATAATTCACGTTAGTGTAATAAATTAATATTTAAAGTTAATGTGTGAAAAATATTGCGACAATGTTAACAATTCTGAAGTGGTTATCGACACTTTGAACATTGCAGGTAAGGCTCAAGGACCAGCGTTACGTAGGAGAACTGGCGATCGTTCTTGAATCGAATTTTTCGTCGCCCGCGCTAATTGTATAATTCTATTGCGATCGACCGGATACCGCGCGCCGATGGAAATTGTGGTAGTGGTTGGTCCTGTTCCTGACTCTCCCAATGCGAGCGTGCAGCGAATATTTCGTTCTCGTGGCATTCTCTGCGAAAGGGCACGTGGAAATTCACACGCGCATTCTTCGCGCCGTGCGAAGTATCGTTCCCTTGATGCCCGTAGGGGCGGAAATCTGCAATCAAAATTTCAGCAATCAGAAAAGTTCAACAAATTTTTACCAAAAGTAGATTTTATACTGTCATTGATTTTTACGTATCTATTACGGCACAATTGTTTTCTTATTTTATAACACTTTTTTCTTTAAAGTAGGCCCCACGAATTTAAAAGTTAACTTATCATTCGCTTTCCTACAAATAAGGAGTCACAAATTATGACTCATTCGGTTAGAAACTGCTCGTATGTTCACTTGATCGCGATGCAATTTCGACGATACAAATCTGTTCGCGCTCGACTATCGGGCGATGCCTACCGAATGGAGCGCACCGTCCCGCTAAACCCAACGAAATCCTTCATTACTGCTGGAGCGATGATCCGCTCGAGCTCTTTACAGCGGCGTATTCGCCGATGACCGCTCGAGCGCGACGCGCGACGGTCCAGCTCCGCGGTCCACTATCATGGTCCACTGGTCTTTAGTAGTTTCTTATTCGCTGCGCTCACGTCTTCCTGAATATTCCTGGACGCCGTATAACAAACGTAAACCAGACTGGAAAACCAGTACTATAATCTAACGTAGATCAATCCGGAATGAAATCCGGTCGCTATTCTGAACTTTCAAGTCAAACGGATTCGGACATTGTGTGACTTCGTATTATAAGATAAAAATAATATTCGCTGATGCTAAAGTTATTATAAAAAAATTGGCAGTTGTGAAGTCTATTTTACTATCTTACTTGTATAATTCTTAATATATAATTTTTTTTTATGTGAAATAAAATGAAAAATATTTATACAAAAGCGTCACTCGACAAGCGATGCGCTTCTAGCTTCAAATTCGCAACACTAAACTCTCGAGGGAAGAAAAAACTGCTTTCGCGATTTCTCATGCATTTTTATTCCACTTTCGAATAAACAGTTCGTTGCTTCTGGATCTAATCGGATAGAAATATATTGCCGAACCCTCTCGCGACGATAACAATCTATCGAACCATCGAGTTTCGTCAAATGTGAGCTAAAATGGAAAAGAAAAAAATTGCTCGTACCTCTTACGTTCGTTTCGAGCGGCGTGAGATTGAGTCGTCGTCCTTGGATACGAGCATCATTTCGGAATAAGGTGTAATCAGCCGCGACGGATAATACTTCCTTGATTCGCCGCTGCGACGAACCGAAGAGAGCGTCCCCTTGAACTTAAGAAACGAGAGGAGAGGTCGTCGTCGCGGCAAAGTGAAAAATCGACAGTAGAGGTACTTTCTTCGATGCTTTCGATTGATTTTAAAGTGCGCGAGACGTCGCCGTCCGAGAAAAGCGCCGATGGCCGACATTGTCCGGCACGGCAGGCAGCTCACGATTTATCGCAAATCGCGAGAAAGAAGTACAACATACCGCCTTGTGCGGCTTTCACACATTTTCGAATCAGCGGTGTCGGCAAAATGTATATTTATGAAACGCGGTTTCGACCATCTGTGTTTGTAAATGTATTCATGAATAAAAATTAATAATCATGATTGAAAAATTCTTTTTAAAGTTTAATTTAAAATTCAATAAACAATAGAATTTTCTCGTGTATCTGCATCATAATTTAATTTTCAAAAAGCTCTTAATTCGCAATTAATTTAAGAGCTGATAGCGCTTCTCGACATTTTTATTAAGGAAAAATCTCCGCATTGATCGGAGAGCTCGCGGATAAAAGGTGACACGGCAGGTCTGGCACGTTTCGTATACGTATAGTTAAAAGCTCACATCTGGAACACTCGCGCGAGACGACTTGTAGCCCCCGCTGGCACGAGACGGAATTCTCTTAAATACTGGCTCGTGTGCAGCCAGCGGCCTGTCCGCCGCAGTCGCATTATTCCGAGCTCTAAGGTCTGCACAAACCGATGCGGTACATGCGATGCAGCCGCGCGATCGATTGCTTCGATAGTTGTAAAACAATTGCTCTCACGTCGGCCTAACTTATTACGAATTGCTTCGTCCGTTTTACGTAAACGAGGCCAAGGTTCGGACGCAAAAATACGATGGCGTTTGGCGACTCCGCGAACGTCTAGAAAAACGAAAAGCTTAATCACGAGACGCACGAATGTAACAACCATGCCGTATAGCGTTTCGCAAAAAGCTGTATGTACTTTCGAAAGCAGAACAGATTTGACGACAGTTTCGCTATTTATATAAATGACGTACAGTCGTAATTTTATGTCAATGGCACAATTCACGAGCGTGGTTTTGTTCCTGACGATTGCTTCCGCCCAAGTTATTTCCTCCTCCACTTTTACGGATGTGTTCTGTAAAGTTTGGGGCTCTGGCGGAACATCGAGACAACAGCACTCGCGCAACCGCCAATTCCAATAATTTTTCCACCCTAAAACCAGCTCGCTCCCGCCGATTGCTCGTAAAGACGAACGGAGGCGAGTGCGAGAACATGAAAAAAGAAAAGAGCGGAAAAAGTCGCCTTTAGACGAGACGGCGCCGGCGATTATTATCTTTTCCCCATAGGACGCAAACAAAGTTGTATAGCACAACGGAATGCAGAAACGCTGCAAAAGGTCTGCAAGTTTGAAAGCGTCCGGCAAACTTTGCATTTAACTGTCCGAGCACGAATAGGAAGAGATCTTTTAAATCGTAAGGTAATTCGTACCTTCTTAACACCGATTATCATTAACTTTGCAAGACTGAAATTAGCGACCAGAGGGGAATTGAACGAAAGTGCCATCGGACTTTCTTGTCTTTTGGCACGCTCGATAATACTATGCAAATGTCAATGGTGAAACGGTTCTGTTTCGCCGCTTGCGAAAAGCTCATTATGCGAGCCGATAAATTCTACGGTCCGCCACGGTGAAATCTTGGCTATTATCCGGATCCGCGATTGCACCGCTGTTGCGCCGGCTGATTGGTCTCCTAATATTTTACGAGATACGTCCGTCATTCCATTCCGCGCTGCAGCCACTTGAGAACAAACCGAGCAATCGGATGCAGCTTTAAAAGTCTTATTCGAATAAGAAAATCATGAACGGTAAAATGTTTGGAAAAATGTTGCAAATCGTTGCGTTCTGATTAACGCATATTTTCAAGTATAGAATCCCGTCTTCGCAGTTATTTACTGTTTGATTCTATTGAATCGTCAAAGATCTGACTTTACGAATTCCATCATTTATTACTAACTGTGGAACGTGGATTTAAATCAAGAAATTAATCCCTCTTAATTCTCGTCTTAAAAAAGGATAATGCGCCGGAGTTAATTAAATCCCATTTTAGCGCCAAGTAAAAGGCCGTGAACTTGAAGCGAATGTCATTATAATGCGCTGCGCCTTCAGCCTCTTAGACACCTGAAGATCTCTGAGGTCACGCCGCCAAGCTACGCTTGATGTTGCGAGGCGACTCGCGGCAATGCATCGAAGGGGATCTCGGAGCGAAGGAAGTAAAGTACCTCGCGGTGCTATACGGCGAGCCGGGGCACCGTCGGTGGTCAGTGGCCGCTGAAAGCGAAAGGACGTACTCCGTTCGCGAAAGGGGGGTACAAACTGAGAGTAGGTACGGCTGTGTACGTGAAGCGGACACTTAGCCATTCCTTCCTCGGCGCGTTCGCGGCACGTAGCAGTGCCGCGCGATTCGGACCACCTGAAGTTCGACAGGGGAACGGAAGCGAGAGTTCCAGAGGGGGGGTCTCCTTCGCGGGGAGGTCGACGACAAACGTGCATCGAAAGTAGCGAATGCTAGCGATCGACGGGCCGATCGCGGGGCCAGTGCCAGTTGCTCGTGAAACGCGAAACCGGGCGAAAGTTTTCGACACCGTGTCCAACCGAAAAAGAGAGAGAAAGGGGAACGAAAGAGAGGGAAAGAAAGAGAGAGAGAAAGAGAGAGAGAGTTGCACACTCGAAGGAATCCCGGAGGAGATCTCGTTTGCTCGTCCACAACAACAGTGTCGTTCGCTCGCTTTTATTACCTCGCACGAGGAAGCCGGACAGTTCACTCGGTCGGAGTGTGTCGCGCGAGTGTCCTCGTAGTGTGCACGCCGAGACCTTGGGTTTCCGGTGCGGACGTCGAAGCATTGTTGCCGCCGAGCTTCCGCCAGCGGTCGAACAAGGTCAGTGAAGTATCGCGTACGTTTCTATAATTTTTGATTTTTTTTTCTCATGCGATTCGAAAAAAATCTGTGTCATAGTATGACATCGGCGATAATTGCGCGGAATCGATTCTTCTTGGGTCGGCACCACACGCTGCATCGACCGGCGTGCATCGGCAATGTGTACACTCGTCAGTCAACCGCGACAAATCCCGCTCACTCGTGAAGCACGAACTAGAGCGAAAGTTTTACCATTTTGTCACTAGCAAACGAAAAACGGACGGTAACCAATATTGCCGGGTTTGGAAATCAGGGATATAAAAGCAAATCATATTCCACAACTTTTATCGATATCGCGTTAAGAGTATAGTCTTATCATAAAAATTTTGTTGCGAATTATTTTCAGGCGAAAGTTTATAACAAAATATTTTTAATTTGATTAACGTTTGATTTAAAAAAATTATTCTTTCTAATTCATGCAAAACCTTTAAAAAAATTCAAGGAGATTTTATTAATCAAGACTGACGTTTCATAGAATTTTTTTCCCTCCAGTTTTCTTAAAAAAGCGACCTAGATCACTATCACATTAATTTTTACTTCAATTATAAAATTTATAAACGATTGAATAATCTATATCTGTGCATGTGACAATTATTTCAGAACTTTGTCAGAAGTTCTAGAAGATGAGGAATATTAACTTTCATTCCTACATCCTTCAGATAATTTTTTACAATGGCATGTTGTAAAATATGATTGAAGCACACCTTAATTAGCATCTCACGAACGGTTGTTATTGTGGTCAATGTCGTTTGCTCTCTGGCACGTTGTCATCTCGATAATCCCTCATTTCCTCTCCTCGCTTATCGATGAGAAATCGCTCGCATAGCATCAAAGTTATAAAATGTTATATGCCGCCGCGGTGAACGGTCAGCATCATTGATCTATTTTTATATCGGCTCGATGGCGCTTAAAAACTTCATCCGAGCGTGACTGCTACCGTCCGCTCACTCGAAACACGTAATAAACAGCGAAAGTCTTCCTGGCTCATTTCTACTGTTGCACATAGGAAGTATCGATATGTATTACACAACTCATAAGAGCTCGAAGGAGAAGCGCGCTTGAACGGACATGAAATCTTTCAGTATGCACGCTTTTAGAGCCAATTCTTCGGATAGCTTCTGGCGCCGCACTCGATCCGTCATTCGGATTTCGGAAACACCTACGCGGTTACGATTTTCTACATCAATCGTTGATGCTGCGAACAACTGATTTTTATTATTCGGTCCGGCGAATCGATAAGAGCTACTTCACCAGTTCGAATAGGTCATCTATAAATGGGCTTTACGTTTTATCGGCCGCTTCACATTTTCTCGCGGAGATAAACGTCGCGGAATCGCTTTCCTCTTTTGCGGCAGACATAATTCATTCGTGAAACGCGAAACCCGCAGATAATCGCGCGAGCGAAAGTTCCATTTATCGAATTGCCCTAAAAGACGACGAAGTCGCGCTTCTAAAAAGAATAATGAACGATGTGAATATCTCATTATACTATCGTTTATTCATTTTACTCGTTCATGTAAGAACTCGTTCATGTTAAAAAATAGATTGAATATTATTCTTACTTATTTTTAAGCTTTTCGAAAATGGACATTTAATTTTTTTCGCAAATCTAGTTTCGTGGTTTCGGTATCGCGCCATCGATGATGCGTAGCACACATGTGCGACCTGGACGAGATAAATGACATTCACTTGTGAAACGCAATGTAAGAAACGGAGCGAAAGTTTCACCTTTTACCCGGCGTTGAACGGAGGTAGAAAGAGAAGAAATAAGATGCAGACGCACGATGGAGAGAAACGTATAAACTTGTAATCGGAAGTTTCTCTATCCTGAATTTCGCGTGCATGATCAACGTTTAAGGAACGTTTAAGGAACGTTTAAGAAACGGTTTGACGTATCTCCGTCTCCGAAGACACGGAAAAGGAGATAAAAAAAAATCTAGAACTCCTAAGAGAATTCTTCAGAAAATATTAAATTGATTGACAGGCACGAATCGCGTAACGTCAATTTGTTCGAGTTACGGTCGCTTGTTCCGTCGAAAGTGAAATCGCAGTATATGCAAGAACCTCGGCATAGATCTTCACGTCGATTTGTCGCTATATGTTTTTCGCATTCTGCGCGCGTACACGCGAGCTTTTTTGTAGTAATCTATCGTATCAGCCTGAATGGTGGAAAATTAGCGTATTATTCTGAAAGTATTACTTCTTGCTGTGTCACAAAATTAGATAGATGAAACTTTACTTAAAAAATCTGAAATTAATCTAAAATTCGGAGATGATGAATGTTGTTATGTTTAAACAATAAAATACGCTCTCAAACGAAGCGCAAGAAACGATTATAAAAGTTCGCAACAATAATAATTATCTTACGTTATGAAACTCCTTTCCCTTTTTTATGTACAAGAAAAAATTGCGATTGAATAAGATTGCTTAGAATATATTCAGAATATAAATGAATTTCTTCCGACGTGATGAAACGACATTGCGTGCGTGCGATGCAGTTTCAAAACGCGCAGTGCATCAGCGGGATTGAATCTCGCGCTGATCTCGATTGCGAAACTGGCACGCTGCTTTCCGCTCGGCGTAAGGTTAATCGCACAGGGGAAAGGTAAATAAACTTTTCCCCTCCTCTCTGCGTATCGAGGCTTGATTGTTTCTCCCTTAATCGCGCCGAGTGGCAGCAGCGCGCCTTTTATAGGACGCGCGTGGCTACCTGCTATGTAGCATGCACCTTGGCGCGCGCGTTGCACTCACAATTAGTGCAACCTGCGAAGATGCATCGTCACGGCTCCGCGCTCGTCGGCGGCGGACCCGCCAGGCGTTGTCGACTCACCGCAAATAATTTCAGGGATGCACGAGAGGGAACAGCGTGACTGACGCGCAGACCGGAAGCAGAAGGGACCAAAAATGTCGCAACGAAGGAGGACGGCGTCCACGTTTTCCTCGTCACCGCCGCATTCCACGCTGATTGCGGTGGTTTTGCTCATCTTCCTCGTCCGAGTGCAGGATGTAACAGGTATGTGCGCGCACGTGTGATTGTTGCTCTCTCAATCCGTAGTTTCGAAGATTCTGCAAAAATTATACCGATTTAAGAACGTGGAAAAATAAACGTTCCAACATATGTCGAAAAGATGAGCAAAACATGAATTCTTTTCTCTATCCTTTTCTTACAATTTATTTAATTAAACATAACTGCTTAATTATGATTCATAATTAAAAGCTTCTATTCTAATTACTCTTCCTATTCCATTAATTTATAAGAATCTAGTTTTTCGATAATTGTTTCTTAATTAATTTCGTCGAAGGAAATTTGATCCAATAAAAATCATTAATAAAGATTTAAACCCTCATTAAATGATAAACTTATGAATTAATACATTTGACACAAAAAGTGTCGACGTTTCTTCCACGCATCTGTGTCAGTTAGGCGGCGATTTGGCACTCTGAGACTATTGGGGGCTTGAACTAAAGTCTAATTAGCTTCTATATGGAGCAGCTTGCGCTCGAGTAGCAGTGTACCCTTGTGCGCCTGCATTGTCGCCGGTAACAATGCCCCGCGAACGCACATATACACGCGCCAGTTTGCACGTACACGAACACGTACACAGGCGAATACCGGCGATAGTGCTGTCTGCCGGAGATGGACTGTTAATTCCCATCGTTACCATTTTAGATCGTGAGATCGCGGTCGGGTTTACATCAATTTGTAGGTGGTCTGTTAATGAATCTCCGTCGGCTCCACCGTCGAAACCACTAAGGACTCCGGCGCAACGCATCTTGTTAGGCTCGTGCGCTCCGAACGTTCGTTCGATCGCCCGTGCGTTTTACCGTTGCGCGGTAATTGATTAATCCCGCGCTGGAAATTAACGTCGACGCGTACCCGCGCGCACTCGTAAACGCTCTCAAGCGAAAATCCGCGTGGTCATCCATTACACCGCCATCGCCCCGGCAATGCTGCGGCAGTGAGATTGACTCCGTGCGGCAGAGCGTGCCCCGTAATTTCTCAGGAATTATTATTTCATTAAATTACACGCCGAAAATTTCGCAAATTTGACGCTGACAACTGCTGAACTAATACTTATACTTACTTATTCCCTCTGTCATCCGTTAAGATTATTTAAAATTTCCAAGATGTTCATGCGCAGATATATTCTTGTAAAAACCACTTGAGAACTTGAAGAACATGTATGTTCGGGCGCTTCGCAGCGTTCACTCCGGGCTGAAGAAGCTGCGGAAGGGCCGAAAAAGCCGGCTGACCTTGGCCCAGTTTCATCAAAGCTTCAGGGAGCGGGCTTATTCCTGGAAATGCAACGACGCGTGTATTCGTGTGTGCGGATATCATCGTGTATGTATATACCAGCGAGCGTATACCCATTGTCGCATACGACATATAATGTGCGTTCTCGGATGGAGATGTGTCGAGCACGCTCGCTCGCGATTTTCTTGGCCCGCTCGCCTTTCAAACGTAATCCTCCTCTCGCATCGACTCGAGAAACAGACGCGGAGCGGGAGACAGAGGGAAACAGAGAGGATGAGAGACGGAAAGAGAGGGAGAGATGCGATTCCCGCGAAGTGATTCCTTTAAAACGTCCGCAGTCCTTCCTCTTCCGAATCTGGAAAGTGAAGCTTCCAGAGATTCCGCGCTGGCCGCAAAACATACGCTGATCTAGAGCTCGCGATAACACAGCGATTAGAAAAGCAATTAGGAGGATCATTAGAAATGAAGTCAGCGTATAAAAGTAAATTAGATAAAATGAAAAGATAATTGTAGATATGAGGATAATATATAAATAGTTATTTAAACTACAAAAAACTAGTTTTTTTGTTTTAAAATTTACGTAAGAATTATTAATGAGAGAAATTTGTAAAATCGTAAACTTCGTGACGGCAATTTTTATAACGCAGCGCAAACTGATTGTTTCCGTCGTTTATACATTAAATCTCTTGGCATTGATTAAAATCATAATATGCCGTGCACGTATTGTGATTGTTGAATCAGAAAGTGGCAGGAACATGATCGATGTTTGTATCTCGCAAGAAAATGCCTCGATCGGCGTCGCTTGAGACGGTTAGAAAGTGTAAAGTTATTTTTAACCATATTTTACTACGTTGATGATAATTAGACGTAAGTTTCACAATTAGTTCCGCCGTCTAAGCAAATTCCTAATTAAGGCATAACCGATCCGCGTCCGGCGCGCGCCATCGTTCACCGGTTTCGAGCGTGCCGCTGCAAAACCATCCAGAACATTTGATATTCCAAGTTACCGCGCGTAATCGACAGTGGTTTCATAAGGATGAAACAAAGCGAACGCTTTTACTTCCTCACTTGTCGAAACCGAAGAAAGTGCTGGAACATCTGCTTGGGAAATTAAAACTTTTGCTTTGATAAAAGGTATTTATAAAAAAAAATTATGTGAAAAGAAATGATTGCAAGAAAGTCTTCTGGCGGATATAATTCAATCAGCCGACGAAAGTCGCTGCGAAAAAGTTAACGGGGTTCGACCGGCGAGTACGCATGAGCGCGCGCGTCCACCTCATAATCGCGAGCTACGTTACATTCACTGTGCGATAAGGTGAAAGTCTAACGTGATAAGTACGTACGGGGCCGGCCACCTGCAGCACGATCTAGTTAAAGCCGTTCAAAACCCGGCGTCGGCTACAAAACGCGGATCGGCACTTGTCGCGCCGAGAGAGCGGTCGAGCGCGCTTTGATGCGGGATAACTAATGATGCCGGGTTAACCCGCCGCGACATAAATAGGGCAGAATAACAATGCATCAAGCTCGAACTTACTTCGAGTGGATTGAGATTTATGAGATCAGGATGCGATAATGTTACGCAAGAAACCCTAACGCGAACCGCCTTTCCTCGCGTTCATTATACAGACTGTATCAAAAGATAAGATTAGCGGGCGAGCGGAGACGATAAAGCTTGTTTCCTAAAAGACCTTCCGAACAATTTTCCGTGATAAAATCGTGGTGGAAAAAATTATCGAGCAAACATTATCATTATTCCATTTTATAAACAAGAAACATCGTTTCTCATCCGGCTCTCTCTACTTGTGTGCGGTTGTCATTTATCTGTGCGGTAAAAAAAATTGTCACGCGGTACGTAAAACAATGCAAAAAAAAAATTATGCATTTCTTTAGTCTGCAACATCCTTTATTTCGCCGCTGATTGATTTCATCTTTTGATACGCGCTCTACGGAGGAGTTTTTGCAACATCGCATATAAAACATAGAAGTGTTTACATCGTGCAATTGCCCAGCTCAAGCGGAGTGCCGCTGAAAAAGCTTAGATGAGACTAAAAAGATGATCCGCGCAAGTATAAGATATCGAGCGTTGGAGGCGAACCGTCAGCGTGTGACGTTTTTACGACTGAAAGGCGAAGATAAAGAGCCTTCGCGAGGCAGCCGCAAGTGTATCTTAACGAGGCACGGGCGCTGCGGGGCGATGATTAAACCGTCTCGAAAATCTGCAAATGTAACGGAGCACGGGCTCAGCGCGATGCTTTCCTCGATTTGATCGGCTGAACGATCGCAGCCGAGCCCTGAATAAATTGAGATAAGATCGAGGCTTCCTTCGAGCTGCCGTACAACAACGAGCGCGCGTGCAGCGTCCGCCATCGTCTATCTCGGTCTATTCCCTTTCGCAGTCGGAAGCGATGTTTCACTCTTGCGTCCAGATTATGCTGGATAATTAGTCGGCCGTGTTCTCTCCGCGCGCTCAATTCAGCGCGGTACGTAACAATAGCGTAAAGTCGGGAATCGCGTTTTACACGTGACGCACACGCTGGCTTTGAATGAGGAAACCTGTGCCAGATCTAAGCGCTTATTATTTTAAATGGGAAATGAAAAGTCTCGAATAATAAATTCATTAAATTTCATATTACTTGAAGGTGTGAAAATAATTTAGAGTGCCTCTAAATTGACATGATATAATTGAGATAATTCCTAATTAATCTGAGATCAACTTTTCTTTAGAAAAATTGCCTCGCCATAGCTTTAGAAGTGTAAACGATTATAAACTGCGTAAGATTTCATCGAGTGCTTGATAGTTTTCGCTAACAAGGGAGTTGCATGAGGTTCGAATTACGAGATCATCCTAATGCACTACGTACACGAAGTGCTTGATCTACATGGTAAATTGTGCAAGCGAAAAGGTCCATTATTTAAGTGTTACAGAGAAATTTAATGGCAACGAAAGTTTGCGCTCTTTCAATATTTATCCACGTACAAAACATAATAAAAATTAATTATTTATCGTTCTTAAACCTTTTTTTAATAATTTCTTATTCTTTAATTAAAGACCGTCGTCTTTTAATCGGAGATTATTAAAAAATCTTGATACATCTTTCTAGAGAGAAGAGGATTGAGAGGAAAACTTTCATATTTGTGATAAAAAGTACATAACTGTTTAAAAATTTCAAAATATTTTATTTTGACTGCATTTATCGACCTTTCCTTGTCAGAAACTTCGAAAGTAAATTGAAGGAGAGCAAAGTTTATCGAAAAGTAGGCGGAAATTGACGCATAACTGGCGAAGGCAAACAACGCTGTTTGTATCATCGTATTCGACACGCGGCGGTCTTTTTGCTATTTATTTGACGATGGGAACAGAAATAGGAATGAAAATAACTCGATTAAACTCATCTCTTTCAAGAACACCGGCACACTTGCGAATTCCGTTCGCTGCATTTTAATTTCCGGCGTCTCGCAACCGCTCGTGGTTGGTTTTAATCAATTTCACGTATAAGCTTAAAATCGCACGTTCTATTTTCGTCAGGATGCCAGTTTTATCCCGTCGGAGAGTATCTGAAATTCGTAAGGGTACCGGAGAATCTGGAGAGGGGGACTGAAATTCTTTCACTGGAGGTTCATCCGAGAAATCGACTCGTCATTATGCCGGTCGACAAGGTACACGCTGCAATTTCCTGGTATTAATTCTTTCTTATACAAGGTGAAATGACAGCACGAATTTCGCAGGAGGAGGACGCCGGTTTCTTTGATTACAAGGAAACAAATAAAACGCATGTTTCTTTGATCCTGGCGCAGTCTCTGGAAGACTTGGTGGACGCAGAATCTCCGAGGAACCTATTAAAATTTCGCGTTACTTGCGATTCAGGCACCGGCGACTCGTTGGTAAGTCATGCAACTACAACCGATATTTTAACGGCCATTAACCTCGCGCACACGGCAAAATTCAGAATACCGGTTCGAGAGTAATTTACTACTTGGTAATATTTTACCTGAATTCCGTTCTATGCGCCCATTAATCGGTGTTGCTCATTATTCTTCAAAAAAAAAAAAAACATTATGAACTTTTTGCTGTATTTCTAGTTTTGGGTTTAATCCGAATAAAATCAGAACGCACGGCGATCGGTTCAATACGAGTAACAGTGACTTTACCGGTTTTCAGCTCATTTCGCATAATGATAAGCGTTTACGTAACAATTCCGTGAAATACCAAATGCAGCAAGAGTTAATGCATGCATAACATTGTATTTATTTAACAACTCTATAATGTTGATATAAAATTTGTTCTTTTATATTTTTTTCACATATATTACGTAAAAAGAATTTTTTCAAAACCTTACAGTTTTTTTATTATTTCCGGAATCAAAAATATGCACACAGAAATATTGCTGTTCGTTATGTTTTAATTTTTTATTAATCGAACTATGCAATTATGCAAATATCTCAATATTTTCTGGATCAAAGCTATAAGAGCTCGAAGAAAATTCAGGCTTTGTCCGCCTAAACCATTGTCGGGCGCGCCAAAGGATGCAAATCGGCATTTCTCTCTCGGTCCACTTTCTGCCTTTTAATAATTCAGCACCCGACTTACCTTGCTTTCAAAGATATTCGCCCGCGACAAGTGTAACGCGCGAAGAAACGAGCCGAAAGTGGTGATCAATAGCCCGACACAATCCCGCCATCAACCGCACACTATTTACCCGACTAAATTACCGATGATTACGGCTTTCGCGTGTAGGCTGTCCGCGCGCCAGATTTGTGCTTCACTCGCTCTCTCGCATCGATCCCGCTCGCCTAATGTATGCGCCTAAACGCCGCCGTTTCGCCAGTGGCTCGAATTGATGGATTATGCAAAGTACCGGTTTTCCCGGGAAATCATTGATTCTTTTTCATCTTCGAAACACGTATATCGGAGTTTTACGAGCCGCAATATAAAGCGAATCCGTGAAACGCATTGTGGCGTCGCATAATTCAGCATGGATTAGAGAGTCGGGAAACGCGGCCCGCGACGCGGAGCGGAAGAGCGATCGAGCGTAGCAGCCACCCCTGTGTGACTTATGTTTCGCCGTTTGTGCCTAGGTATCGTCGCATTTGTCAGTGACGGTCTACGTGGAGGATATAAACGATCACGCGCCGCAATTTGTCGATGCGCCTTATCACGTAACAGTGGACGAGCTTACGCCAGTCGGTGAGATACAGCCACGCGCCAGCGATATCGTAAATCGCTGCTGCCGCACCTAAATTTCAACTAATTAATATTCTCCCCCCTCCCCCCTTCTCCCCTCCATCTGCTTTATATGTCACGCAATTCACCGCTATAATAAAATTGCTGCACGGTCTATTGCGTTTGAACACGTTTTATAGTTGTATCGG